TTCACATATGGCTCATTGCTATTGTTCTAGACTCTAGATCAGAGAACTTCCAGAACCCATTGGATGGTGAAGGAATTCAAGCTATTTAACAGCTTAAGACAAAATAAACCGATGTTTCGCGTTACCTTCCTTATACATGCGCATACTGAAAGAACGATAAAATTCAGCTTGCGAATCAGAGATTGCCATCTAAATATGTGCGATAGCTCGAGAAAGTCATTATTTCTCAATATTCCCAAATCGAAAAAACTATACAAAGTACTAAAGTTTCTGAAGGCGGTCAAGTGCCAATATATTTGAAAGATATGAAAAGCGATCACTCCGACTATAATTTCAACAACATGTGTCTAGCAGAGTTTCCGATGTTGTTTGAGCCACACTACGCAATACCAATTGCCACCCCCGGCAATTAATGTGAAAGAAGAATGTTGCTCTTAACTTTGTCATGGCCTTTCACTGACCACATAGTGTTAGGCAGCACTGTAGACCACGCAGTTGTGTATTTAGGCTGGAAGCTATTTGTTGAAGGACAAGTTTAATAGGCCCGAGTCGAGTAAGTCTTTGGAAGGATTAAGCATTGAGGAGTTAAAACCCCTAGTGGTTTTTTTGGTGTTTATGTAATCCCAAATTATAATGTTAAAATAGTAATAAAAGAAAAAAAATTGTCTGAAAAACAGATTGAAAAACACTGAAATAGAATAATATTTTTTTAAATGTATCAATAAAATTATTAATACATAATATTAATAATTTTATTGATACATTTAAAAACTTCAGCAGTACTATCCTTGTGTTGGGGGTTTCAGCCCGGAACTCGGTCGTGTGTAAGAACCCTGACTTTAATTAATTGATAAAACACATATAAAGAACGCTAATAATTAATATGTAAGTATTTCACATACTTCGAAATACATATTAATTAAAAACGTATAATTACTTTGATAAAAAAACTAGTCCTCTGTTATTATACATGCAAGTTAAGTTATTCAAGAAATAAAGTAATAAAAATATATCCACCTTTACGTCTGTTTTATGTCGGGTATAAAATACATAACACTTGTGTATAAGAAAGGCATATTTTATACGGTTTTCATTTCAGAGCAGAACATAACGTTCTTGGTCTCAGATACCATGTTTTTTATAATTAAAAAGAAGATGAACAGCATTCTGTCTAACACACATTGCTGGGTCTATGACATGCCGTTATTCGCACTATATATATCTCAAGTTTACGAGGAAGTCTTAAATCTGTGTAACTCTAAGTGTGGCCATAGACGGACCGCATGTTGCAGTCGATACCGACTGCTCTAAGCGGAGCTGCCGGACCCACCATACACGGACCGCTACAAGCGGTTGCTGCCGACCGCGCGCCACTCCCTCAAATAAAATAAAATACTAACTAATTCATCAAATGAAACCACGGACATTCTAAAGTAGTTGAAAAACTTTTTAGTGTCTTCTCTCAGCTGGTGATACAAAGTATTAAATATTCCATGCTGTTCTCTTGATTGTAGTATTGGACGCACCCACATACTACGGTGTCTTTTACGCCTACGCTTGCGTAATAGTAGTACAAGTAGCAGTGTTTCTTCATCGAAATCCATCTTGTAAATGAACTCGCATCAGTATTATTTTGCGGTCGAACACAACTGCTCCAAGCAGTCGTACACGACTGCATGCGGTCGTGTACGACTTCAACGCGACCGCTCTAGAACAGTCGGTCTCGACTGCAACATGCGGTCCGTCTATGGCCAGCGTAAAATAACTTTTGTGTCACAATTTTTGTAAACGAACTCGGAAACTGTTTGTCAGATTTTCTTGAAATTTTGTGTCTGAAGAAGGTAAATTTCTACTCTAAGTGACAAAAGTGGACAACCCCCATTTCCTGATAGCAATATTTGTTAGTGATATAATAATCTTTTTTTGAAGTACACCTCGACCCCAATGAAGTTCATTACATTTACGGCTAATCATATACTTAAAAAAATATGATATATCAATTATGTATGTTTCTGTAATGTTTACAATGGCTCGATAATGTAAATAAATTTTGTATAAAAGTTTAATCAATCATGTTTGCGATTAGAAATGACCATATTTGCTTATTAAAATGTAAATAAATCAGTGGCGCTACTACATGTTTAGGTCTTGGCCTCAGATTTATGTATAGTCTGATTCATGATCATTTGTCAATATAATAGGCAAGTAGGCCTCCAGTGCCTGACACACACCGTCCACTTTGTGGGTCTAAGGCAAGCCGATGTTTTCTTTAACCGTTAGAGCGAATAATATTGCGCACATAGAAAGTCTCTTGGTGCACAGCCGGGGATTGAACTTACGACCTCAGGGATGTGAGTAGCATTTGATTAACCTTAAAAGGTATTATGTTGTATTTGCGCTAAAGTGGAATTTAAAATCTAAATTAGGGATTTTAATATTTGTTTTCTTTGTTATTGTCTAGCGCCTACGAAATTGCACTAAATTTGAATTCACGTTATTGCAACTGGTTCTCCAGCCTACTGATTTTTTAATTTTGAAGTTATATTGATTATTTTTCCGACCCAAATATCGACCAATAGAATTGCACCATTCGACGTCACGTGGTACAACCTACATGGTATTATACTGATAATTTTTTGAAAATTTCTCTGTAGTGCTTCAAGAAAAGTATAAGTAGTTGTTTTATTCATTATGAAATTCTTATTTGTTAACTGTACATTTCGTCTCATGGTGCAATTCTATTGGCCGACATTTGGGTCGGAAAAATAATCCCCCGAATACCACACGAGCTTCAAAATTATCTGGCATTTCCCTCAAGGTTCCCTGCAAACAAATAAAGTCGTCAAGTTTTTCAGGTGATTTTGAAGATCGTGAAGCTCTTGTGGTATTATAAGAAAATTTTATATCTTATTTTACCATATTGAATGTATTTTCTTCCAATAACTTTTTATTTTTGATATAATATGTATCAATCTTGTCTTTGTATTGTCATTTTATATGTGCTTCAACATAATATTATTAGTATCGGTTTTAAAATTTAAGAAAAAAGTGATATTCACCCTTTTGACTACATTCACTAAAATAATATTTTATGTAGGAACCATCCTAATACACACCAGTGTAAAAGCTTAAAAATACTGTATTAATTTAAAAAACCGGTAATAAAACCGTATCTCAATACCGTTCCTCTGACTGAAAGAGTTTTCCGGTATAGCGTCTAAAATATCTTCCACACGTGTTACGGTTAACGCCCGCCTCGCATAAATCACCAAATCAAATTTTAATATGAACGCAACCTGCCATTTTGCAAATATGAAAGACTGGCAATAAAGCGATATTAACTCGTGTGAAGTAATTTAAAAAGGCAAATTTTTATGTGCCGTTAACATTTCATCGTCTCCGATGTATGTTGGTTATACGCGGTTTTGTTTAGCTGTCTAAGTGCTCTGATTAGGTTATAATAAAACGTGGATAAAACTTCCAAAGATATAAAAAAAGATAGGATACATAAACATCGTGATAGAAATATAAATGTCCCGTATCACCTCGTCCTCTGCCACAACTGAGCGTTTTTCCCGCGCACCACCACTTTGTGGAACCAGCTGCCCGCTGGGGTATTTACGAACCAATTCGACTTAGGGTCCTTCAAGAAAAGAGCGTACCAATTCTTAAAAGGCCGGCAACGCACTCGCGAGCCCTCTGGCATTGAGAGTGTCCATGGGCGGCGGTATCACTTAACATCAGGTGAGCCTACTGCCCGTTTGCCCCCTGTTCTATAAAAAAAAATGTGTTTAAATATAAAAGTATCTGAAAATAAAAGGCTTGAATATAATTTAAATTTAAATTATAAAAACCATTTTACTATTGACATAAATATTACTTTATTAAATAAATGAGTATTGTGTCTTTAATTTAAAGTTTTCTTCAAAAAAATTATCATCGCAATAATATCGCATCATTCAATATGTCATTAACCGATACTTCAGTGCATTCAATGTGATAAATCATTCAATTAGGAAACCTTTCCACAAGAATATCTCAAATGACTAAACTCATTTTTGGACTTTGTTATCACATAATTGCTACCACCTATGCAGAATTTTACGACATTAGATTTTATCCACTTTTTTTTACGTAAATTGTAATGACATTTAGAGCCCCCGTCAACTCCAAACTTTTTATCGTCTTGAAGTTTTAATAAAATAAATTCCTTTGAAAAACATAACCCTAAAAGTACTTTATTTTATTTCGCTTGTAATCTCAGAGTTTCTTTATAAATTTGTACAATAAACAGTGTCATCCGTAATTGATATAATAATTGGGTAATTAATGAAATTGTTTATTTAAAGGTAAGTGATTGTAATACATTTGACAGTAAGCAATTGTTTTCCAATTAATTCGCCTAAAATCAATCAATGGATTAAAATGATGTTGTCTATATTTTTATAGTTATACACAATGTACACTTATGAACGTCAAAAAATAAATATACATTAAATGCTTCTAATTTTACATTTACTGCCAGTTCTCAAATCAAGGGCGTAGAACGGAAGAGAAGAACTGGCAATAAACTCTCCGCCACTCTTTTTAATTGCCAAGTTTTTTGTTTTACACAACGTTTGTAAGAAGCTGCAACCAATACACCATGTTCCACATGACATCTAAAGTAATTAATAATAATAAAATAAATTAAAAACATAGATTTGTCTTCTATCAGCAGGAGGCATGGTGAAAAAGGAGCACGTACTTACATTCTCGTGGGAACAACACGCAAATACATAGTCGTCAATCATACTACTTGATACAATCTAAAATATAGGCTAATAAGCATTCAGGTTCATTTCTAAGCGATTCATAGAAATATTAAGTTTTCTCCGAAAATTCTTCATTTCGAATAAATACAATAAATATCTAACAAAATTTACTTATCAAAACATTAATGTAAGCAAAATAATATTCAGTAGTCTTGACACACGTCAAGGGCGTTGGCCACTACAAGGTTAGATCTTACAACCGGTTTTATCAATCATAATTGGCCCATTCGATTCCCGGAGTTTAAAGGTCAAAGGGACTCCACCAACTACAGTCTGGACGATGTCAGAAGCAGGGTTTACACGAGGATAACGAGGCGCTCCTGGAGCAGGGTACACAGAGAACCGCGATAATACCGCTGCCAAGCCCGCTAGTGATTGCATCATTCCGAGACGTGCACCTGTAATTGCACAGTTAATATATATCTATATTGTTTCCTGTAAAATTCATGTCTAAATTTCAAATATTATATCTAAATTTATGGAATAAAATAATTAATAGTTTTTATTATTTCTTTGCATTTGAAGTAGGTCGGAAAAATGAAATGGCAGTAGGCAGTACACGTGACTAGGCTTCAATAACAAAAAGATTTAAACCATTGAATGGCAAACGGCGCAGTTATCGACCCCAAATTCTCTCCAGGCCATTGTAATAGAAAAAAATGGCATTCCTTGAACTAATTATTTTAGAAATCTAATCATATAATTGGTAACTAAATGTTGCACATAGTATTGTCTTTGATTAACATAACTTTTATTCATTTAATAAAACACTATTTTGACCGGATTGAAGTTATGTATTATTATAAACCGTGACCACGCACGCTGTAAAGCACGCGAAACGTCGGATAAATTTAAAATTATGTTAAATAGTTGTAAATTTATAATAATACATAACTTCAATCCGGTCAAAATAGTGTTTTATTAAACTAAATGTTAATTTTTACCAATAGTTCATTGTAGTTAATTTTAGTAGAATTTGATTGGTTTTTAATTCATATAATATTTATTTTATATTTTGTTTTTAATCCAAAATAATGACCGTTCATTCGGTGGTTTCTTAAATATAAAGTACATGATCAAACATACACACTTGTTATCTTGACAACAAAGCAATAAGAGCAGGATTTACTGATAATCATATTAGTTTTTGAATTAAAGCAGTGATACAGTGAGCCAAGATGTCCTAGCGGTAGAAAATTTAAACGCAATTCAAATAAGTGTACGAAGACATAAACTATATATTTTGTTTGTATTATATACTCGAACAATTACGATAAAGTTTTATTTGAGTAATGATTGCTATCACTCCGTGTATTCACGCGAGTTTGTATGTTTGTTATTACTGAAAAAACTTAATAAAAAAAGAGGTTATTTCTTGGCGTACGCGGATACTATAAAATTTCTTTGGATATTTTTAATATGAAGCCTGCGAAAGACGTCGGTGGCTGTAAAGGTCGAGATAGGTAAATGATCTTATAATCCGTATGAATCTGTTTAAGAAGTTTTATATAAGTATCGTGTATGTAAGTATGGAACGCACACAAAATGCACAGAAATAGAGTAAGGTGCCTACTAAAATATTATATTTATTTCCTTATAACTTACCTATGCAAGCTCTGGGACCATCACCAAACGGCAAGTAGACATTTTTATATTGATCACCATTCAATACATCAGGATCAAAACGTTCAGGGCGGAACTGCTGTGGTTCATTAAAATACTTCGGGTCGTTGTGTAATGCCTGTAGTGGAATTATAACTGAGACTTCTTCATCGATCGTTAAATTCAAATCTTCAAAAGTATATTTGCGTGCACATTCACGTATAAGAAATCCTAAAGATGGAAATACTCGCATAGCTTCCTTAAATGTCCATTCTAAATATGTCATCTCTTTAACGGCTTCATAGGTTAATTTATTGTCATGCTTAGCTAAAACTCTATCTATTTCTAGCTGGACCTTACGTTGCACATGTATGTTGTGGGCTAATTCATTTAAAGCAGTACTGGTAGCTGACGACGAAGTTTCAAAACCTGCTGCGAAAAATACGAACATCTGAGCAGCTAATAATTCATCATCAACATGCAATTCCGCGCGAGCCGCTTTTCCATCTGCTCCTACGCGTTCAATCGACTCTCCTACTATGGTGCCCTTCTTCTTGCATTCTATCAACAAGTCCACAAAGTCGTTTCTTTTCGATTGCTCATAGTTTCGTTGCTTTAGTACCCCTTTTAGGAGACGCATAATAGTTTTTTCCACGTTGCCAAGAAACTTGAGATGTTTAAAGGTTTCAGGAAATAGTTCTTTCAAGAAGTTGGTTGCCACGTTCCTGATACCTAATTGGAATATTTTTGTACCAAGTCTCCTAAATTCAGAGTCGTCGTCCTGGAGTGAGTCTGCATCTAAGCCAAAGCCACAGGCTCCTATAAAGTCAGTTGTATAACGCGCCATGAGATCCCGCGCATCAATTACACCCCCACTTTGCTCAGTCGCTTGCAACGCACGCAATTGCAGTCTTTCAGCACGTTCCACAATCAGGGGGAACATAGCACGTAGCTTTCCTGTTGTGAAAGCTGGAGTCAATCTTTGCCGTAACAGTCGCCACAAATCACCATCAGCGAAAAACAGGTTGCGCAACATTGGTTCAACCACAGTTTTGTGAGTATTTAGGCCACGGGGATAGAAATGATAGAAATCCGACGTCAGTACTTTTTTTATTAACTGCGGATCTCTTAGAACAATTTCGGGCTTAGTTGATCTGTAAAAGCCAACCACTTTTTCTTTCGGATACTTCCAGTAAGCCTCAGCGGCCAATTCAGTTGCGCTCTTCTGCATTAGGTAATTCCTTGCATTGTTTCCAAGAAAGGGTAAAGGTCTGTCGTTTTTCACTCCTTTCTTCTCCCAATATTTGAAAGTTCTAGTACCGTAAAAGTACAAAGCAACCAGCACAATTATTGTTAATGCAATTAAAATCATCTTGCGATATCGTGGTGATCCGTTATGTGTTCTTTGTGTTATCAAACAAGTTTATTCATCGCGCAAGCGTCTGATGCGTAGTAAAGCGAGAAGCGACTGACACAATATCATAACATCTCGACCTTGTTGCACGCCCCCTCAATCCTCATACTACACGTTATTACTATCCAGGATTATACTCTATTAGTGTTAACCAAACAATTAACTTTGAGTCATAATATTTTAGTATGTAATAATAGTTATAATACTATATAAATATAACTGATTCTTATTTTAATATTGTCTCTAATTTACGGGAATACTAAATACAGAAATTTATTTTCTAATGAATATTTAATTATGTACTTCATTTGTCTTCTATAAAGCACATGAGTAGGCAAAGATCATTAAATAATCCAAAAATGTTATTTTAATTACTTCCGATACGAATGCAATTGTATGAGCATTTTAAATTATTAAAAATAGAATAAGGATTAAACTTATTTTTACGTGATAAGTACAGAACATTTAAAGCGAAAACTTTTATTGGAATGTCTTAAATACACAAGGTGTACTAAATAACAGACGGTCCATTTAAATTTATCAGGACGTTAATAAGAGTTTAAACAATCCAACATTTCAATTAAGAATCGAATGGTCCACGCTGCTGGAAGTGAAACGTTGTAGAGATAGAAAAAAAGTATCAACTGCTTTAAAGTATAAACTGTTAATGTAACTAACCTTATTAAATACCTATTACTTTAATATAAAATATTTTCAGATTATTTATTTATTCATCCAAGTTTACCACATCATACATATCTTCGGTATATGTTACAAACTCGTTTATATAAAATTTATGAAAATTTAGGTAAAAATAAAAGTACCAGAATTTTTTTTAAACTGAAAAAAATGTATCTTTACAACAGCGGATTAGCTACGAGATAGGCACTTAATAATGATTTCTTTAAAATTAATCAGCCCACTACCGAATATATCCAGCTCCGGATAATTACCTACTGTTTAATCCGTTATAATCGTGAAGATTCGAAAGAAGTTTTGTAGCCGGAATATGGAAATTTTGCTGATTATTAGAAGTCCCACAATAAAATTGCAATCAAATGCTTAGTGGATTAGATATTTAGGTAGATTTTCACAAGTATATTTGTATGTGTCAAACAAGTTATATGATGTGTATTTAATAGTTATTACAACTAAAGTGATCAAATTGATAGAAGTGTGTATCTGTCGATATTCTGTGTGATTATAGAAAAAATTTACTATGATTGCTGTCAGTTTCTTTAGATTTTTTTTCTTAGCAAACGTGTCCTACTTCAAACAAACTAAGTACGCTAATTGCTTATTTAATAATATGTTATTAGCAAGGTAACAATGTCCTGCATACAAAATTGTATTTAAGACCAGGTTAATTATCTCACCTTACCTATTTTAATGACGACATAATTGCTATGTATATTGTGTGAGGGGCAACTAAATATCTGCGAATATAGAATATTGCATAAGGCGCAAAATATGTTTACGCTAAAAAGTCTATAAGATTTGGATTCGTTTTGTTTATCTTTGATATTTGTTTTTTTTTTAAATAAATACCTCGTGTGTAGATTTACTATAACAGTGTAATAAAATTAATAAATTCGTATGAGGATTAATAGTTAATTTAAAAGTGATAATAAAAATAGTTTTGTGTGGCTAGCTGTACAGGAAAAACAATTTGTTTGATCGAGTTTGCATTGATGTACTTCAGAGTCTGACTATGCTCACAGCGCAGAATCTAAATTGAAACCTGTCACGAAAACCATACATAAAACTAGAACAGTTTTTATGGTTCGGCGCTATCGCCTATTCCTAGAACCGATATCAATGTTACTTTTAGATAAGTCATCATTATTTCTTCTTCTTATAAACCATACAACCACCATCTATAGAGGATACAGTAAGCTGGATATGTGGCCGAAATGAAGGGTATAAGTACTGCGGAAGTTTTTGATGGATGAAACTCTGTAGCGAAGCCACTGCTGGCTAAAATTAATATGATTGGATATGAATGGAAGTAGAAGCTCCAAGCCATGGGAATCACGAACTTTAAGCAAAAAGCACAAAACAGATTGGCCGACGGTTCTTCGACCAGGTTATGACACGATGGGCTGTTTGATGCTCGATGATGATTTCTCTTATTGGCTTCTCTGGCAGGAAAGAGAACCCAGAAAGATACAAAACGATTAACTTAGTTTAAAGGATGTGTAATCACAGATGCAAGCTGTGCGCACGCACAAAAATAGATAAGTTATCAATTGTTAAGTTGAAAGTCGTGTTGAAAATTTCATATCTAGATGTCAATTTGATAGGAAGGAGTTTAATGTACGATTTACGTAAATATACTAGGTTTCAACCGACTTCAAACAATCCAATTAAAATAACGTTGATTTACTTGTGAGTATATTATAGAATCGTTCAGGTTGGACGTCAAAGCAGAATATAAAATACCATCCGTATCACCTCGACGTCCGTCGTTCCACGACTGAGTGTAACTTAAGGCAGTTTTTGGCCACGCACCACCACTGTGTGGAACCAGCTGCCCACTGAAGTATTTACGAACCAATTCGAATTCTTGAAGGATCAAGAAAAGATCGTACCATTTCTTAAAAGGCCGGCAACGCACTTGCGAGCCTCTTAGCAATGCGAGTGTCCACGGTATCACTTAACATCAGATGAGCCTCCTGCCCGTTTGCCTCCTGTTACATAAAAAAAGGTATTTGTATTTCATATACTACAAGAACTGAGAAATTTTACTTTATAATATGGTTATATAAATATAAATACCTATTACTTTCAAATAATATATAGCAATTCGTTATATAAATAAAATTGGTCGTCTACAAATAAATCGAGTATGTTTAAATGAAATTAATGTATCCCAAAAGTGCAGGCGGTCACAGGATCGAAATCCTTTCTCGTAAGGGCTTCTTTGTCTTCATTAGATCGAAACCTTCGGACCAGGTTTAATATTTAAGGATTTATGGTCCCCGAGGAGACATTCATTTTAACTCGTTAGTGAAATTGCGGCCACAGGAAGGTGGACAGTTTGAAATTCTTTTTTTATTTTTGTATTTATGTCTTTGTGACGTGGCCATTTCATTTCCATATACGTACTTTTGAACAATTGAGTATTTTCGTACGTCTAAATAAAATCTATACAATAGAAATCCACGGCAAGTTAATTTTTTTATATATCAGAGTTATTTTTCTTCAAAATAACATGAGAGTGGGGAAAGAAGGGTAGACATAAAAAAAGCTCGAAACTTACTGCACTATTTGCAAGCCCAAATGAATGGAGGAAGCAAAAATAAAAGTCTGGAGGAAGTTTGGAGAAGCCTACTGAAACGGCTGCAACTATAATTAGACCTTACGTCCAGTCCCGGCTTCGCAGAATATTTATTTTATTAAATATGTAATAGCTAGACATACTACCTACTTGTAGACATTGATGCCTTTTAAGAAAGCGTACGGTATATAAGTATTTCTTGACACCTTAGGTTACATTACAAAGTTTTCATATGGATTCCTAACTTTTTGAAACTATTCTAAAGTATTTATATATCTATTAGTATTGTTCAGTGGTGTTGGAGCCTATTCAATGCAAACAAACCTATACTACTATTAGGTATACGTTCACTAATGTTCTACAATAGAACATTAGTGAAGGTATACCTAATTTATATTTCCCATATATTTATCTAGATAAGTTTTAATATCACAGAACTTTAATCTTGTGTTTGACTATACTCCCGAGAGTAATTCAACTTGAGATAGTATATTAATATGAGAATGACCCGGCTCACCTCCATTGCTTGCCCTTTGTGTCTGGATTTAGATAGGTTTAGGCGTAAGGTTGAAATATATTCATGTCACTAAGATGACCAAATTATACAACAGTGGAGATTTAACAGTAAAAAGCTAGCTAATATGATAAGAACTAAAACATCAGGTGGAATTGTCTGTTCGGTATAAAAATAGTCTAGATGGAGCGACCGCGACTGACTGGTGAAAGAAACGCATTTTTTTGCATTTGTCTATGGCTGTTTCTAATATGCACCTCGTTCAAACTCAAAAAAAATAAATGATTAGTGACTTAAGAAATTCAATGTAATTAAGGCTTAAATTAGTCATTCGTCCCCAATATATTGTCCGTACTAATAGGGTTTCGTAAAGGCTTAACCTGTCCCCGTGTTAAATTGTCACTTTTAATTACACAGCCTTCAGGATATCCACCCATATCCATTAGCCGACCCTACATGAGAACATTATAGGATCAAAGCTTATTTGGGCAAAAACTAGCTAAAATATTTGTAAGAAATTTTAAAGGCACTCCGTTAAAAGTTGACGCCTAAAAATTGAAATTAATTTAGCACAGATTCCATTAAAATCAAAAGGCCCTAATCAGTGTTGACTTATAAAAGTATTAAGATTCTTAGTTGCACTTTTAGATACTAGTTTTAAACTAAAGTTAGAGGGCGGCAACGCACTTGCCAGCTTTGCGGCAATATAAGTGTCGGCGGCGGTTTTACTCAACATCAGGTGAGCCTCGAGCTCGTTTGCAAAAAAAAAAAAGTAAGTTTAATAGTTTACTGAATAAATCACGGTTAACTAATCGTGATTTATTACAATGGTCTAAATACTCGTAGCAGTCATTATTTATTATCAGAATGCTTATTCAAGCGTGCTTACGCTTGTTACAAAGCTTATTTTACTATGTTAGTTATTAAAACTTCTAACTGTAATATCAAGTATGTAATCAGAATTTTAAAATGAAGAGTGCTGAGTGTGCGGTAATATCCAGAAGACTGTGAGAAAGATCTGTAAATTCTAATTTTGAAACTCGGTACCCCTCAGAGGTACACCACAATACATTATATTCAAACATTCGTTATTGTGTAACGATAAAAAAAATATTCAACATTTTTATATAATTAATATCATTTCAATGGGTAACGGTTAGGGTA